TCGTTTATATTTTTATTTATTTAACATTTATTTATCTTAAACTATTTATTTACTTTAAACTATTTTATGACTATTTTAATATTTATTTGTTAATTTATATATATATATATATTTTTTTTATATTTGTAACATTAATTTATTTAACGTTTATTTATCTTAAACTATTTATGTATTTATTTTAAACTATTTCATTTAAATTATTAGTTTTTTATATTTTTAATATGTATTTAATTTATATTTTGTAGTTATTTATTTAACATTTATTTTTCTTAAACTTCTTTCTTTCTTTCTTTCTTTCTTTCTTTCTTTCTTTCTTTCTTTCTTTCTTCCATGCTGGTAAATGTGTTTTGTCCCATGTCTCAACAATCTGTGATTTCAGTGCAAAGGCAGTAAGATTCATAAAGATTATAAAGTTTATTTCAATTTTATTTTGAAATGAAATTGACATTTTGAAAATTCATTTACTGCTGAAATGAAAGACTGAATATAGGCAGCAGATTCCCTTCAGTTGGATGAATGATTTAGCTTTCTGCCATGTGTGTCATAATGTCTGCCCATTAGTGTAATTAATGCCTCTAATTAGCGGACCATCATTAATACAAGTCTAATGACAACTGCATGAGCAACAAAGACTTCATTTATGGCATCTGCTGTCACACGAAGCCTTCAGTCACTATGGCCAACATCCAAGCCCATGATGTACGAATGAAATCTTAAACAATGCTTCTTACAGAAGGACGGATTCATGTAAAGCCTTTCATTTGTGCTAAATAAAATCAAAGACTGGCTTAATTTAAGGTCTTTCAGTATCTAACTGCAGCGACTTTCCTCGGAAATGAAAAATGAAACTTGGTAAATCCAGCCAAGTATCCTGTAAGTAAGAGTTTAATAAAAGATTCATTCAAACTCCATCCTCAAGATTAAAGTCTAATCTGGGATAAAGCATCCAGTGGGATGTGTTTGTTTCCATCACTCAAACGAGACGAACGATGCTGAGAAACTCCAGTCCTGCATGCACATTAATGAAAAACACAAGGACATCCATCCCGCCACAGCGCATTCATGAGAAAATCAGGGCGTGTTTTAATTCAGTGAGTGAGGCAGGTGTGCAATCAGAGGCTACGCTTGATTTAAAGAGCTGGAACTGGCCGGATTCATTAGAGCGCTGCCACATCACCCGTAAATCAACACGCTGTCAATAAATGTAGCCTTTAAATATTAATAAGCGAGGCTCCTTTCTTCCCCCTCCTCGTGTCATCTCAACCTCACCACCATCTACTCAGCGTTTTTTTAGTAGGCCATTTACCAGATCACCAGTACAGAATGACACGCAATATGAAAAAAGCATCGTCTTTTTATATTGAGTTGTGTGCGTCAGACGCTTTATATCGTGTATCGCTCAAAAATATTGATGGTCTGTGTTGCAACAAAATGCAAAATGCTATGCTCTCAAAATGTTTTTCAATGTAATGCTCTTGAATAAAACATTTTTAAAAAGCCACTGTGGGGCTTCCTAAGATATTCTTCAGAAATTTCAACTTTAAAAAGCAATATTTTGGGTTCAGTATACCAATAAACTCAATTAACAGCATTTGTGGGATAACATTGATTTCCACAAAAAAATGGCAACACTTCAAAATAAAGCTTGATTTTTTTTTAAGTACATTACTTAATTTTTATAATAAAATTATATAAAATTTAAATTATATATATAGGCGAAAAAATTATATATAATAAAATACATTATATATATTAAATTATATATAATAAAATGCATTTTTTATTTTTGTTTTTTTAATAGGTTTTTACCGGGTGTTTTATCCCATGACTCAGTTTGAAATCAGTCATTTCAAAGCAAAGGCATTAAGATTCCTTATAATGGCTCATTTTTTATTGGAGAAGTTTAACTTTAATTAAACAATAATAGACAAAAATATTAATATTCCGTGTTGCTACAAAATGCAAAGTGCTACAGCTTTCAAAATGTTTTTTAATTAAATGCTTTTGAATAAAATATTGACTAAAACACACTATGTAATATGGTTTCATTTTACTAATACATTTTTTAAATCAAATGTTGTATCCATTAAAATGACTTAATGTTAATTACCATTAACATTACTTACATTAACATATATTTTTATGATATCATTAGCAAAATGTAATAAATTGTTGTTTAAATCCTCATTTTTATGTAATTTTGAGTTTATGGCGTTGCATTATCATGGCAACAAAGTTGTAAAATTATAATTTACACAAAAAAAAGAGTTACCATGTCTATTGTTTATGTCATGCACATACACTTTGTTACAATGTGAAACTATATTAATGTTTATTTTAAAAAGTGTTTCTCTGGAACACAGTTTTTTTTTTTTTTTAAGAGGAGGGACAAATGCATTCTTGTGGTATTCAACATTATGCCTCAAATGCATGTATTATGCTTATGAATCCTAGGCCTGTGAACCCAACAGAGATGTTTTTTCATTCAGCGGTACAGACTTCATACAACTACCACTGCTTTACAGACTACAGCCCAAGATCCAGTTCACATAAGTGCCACAAATACATTTTTGTCACTTTTCAGCCACGTTCTGAGGCGAATGTTGCTTATATTTGAGGTGCTGGTAAATGAGCATGATTCATTCAGCTGTCAGTATGAAAGCAGGGTCAGATCCCCGTGGGGGCGAGTGACCCGTCGGATAAAGACTCGCGGAGGCCAGCTGGACTTTAACTCGGTGTCAAGGACCCTTCTCATGCTGGCATTAACATAACAACATAACAGACTGTATTCATTAGGATCCGTGTTTGTGTGAGTGACGTGTGCGCCGTCAGGCGTCTCTTCACCTCGCTCGCTTTCAGCGTTTGCCTTCAGCGTTCCTGCAGGATTACAGCCTGTGCCGTTCAAAATGCTGCGGGATTTAATGAGCCCAGCTGTAGATTACTCATCTTTAACAATGTCTGCTCACAGCGCTGGTGCATAGAAACACACACACACACACACATCATTATTTGTAACCACTCACTCACTGCAGGAACTGGATAAAGCCTATAGGGGGCAAGTTGTCACGCCTCTTTCTCCAGTGACTATTTCCCCAGATAAGAGGGAAAGTTCTGGCAAGGTTCTTTTAAAGGGATAGTTCATTACTCACCCTCATGTCGTTCCAAACCTGTATGACCTTTGTTCATCTTCGGAACACAAATTAAGATATTTCTGATGAAATCTGCATCACACGCATGTGTCTTGGTGCTCTCGTGAACGTGCGTCAAAGACTGACACGGAAGAGAAAAATTATTGAATAAAGTCGTTATTTTTGTATTCTTTGTGCACAAAAAGTATTCTCGTAGCTTCATAAAATTACGGTTGAACCACTGATGTTACATGGTCTATTTTAAAAATGACCTTACTACGTTTCTGGGCCTTGAACGTGGTAGTTACCTTGCTGTCTATGGGAGGGTCAGAAAGCTCTCGGATTTCATCAAAAATATCTTCTTTTGTGTTCCAAAGATGAACGAAGGTCTTACGGGTTTGGAACAACACGAGGGTGAGTAATTAATGACAGAATTGTCATTTTTGGGTGAACTATCCCTTTAAAATTAGAATAAACCCAAAAGAAGCACACACACGTTAGCACAAAAACATTATTTACACATTGTCCGTGAACATTTTTCTGAAACATTTTAGTTGGAGGTTCTTCTAACTAGATGTTTGTGTAATTTTTTCAATGTTATATAACATTTAGGGAACAAAGTCAAATTTCCATTACAAAAATTGTTAAAATTGAAGAAAAAAAAAAAAATTATCAAATGGAGTTTTCACTTGCCGTTTGAATAACCAATAAATAAAGAAATAAATTATTTAAAGGTTACAAAAACTTTCGGTAACACTTTAGTATAGGAAACCCAATTCTCACTATTAACTAGTTGCTTATTAGCATGCCTATTATTACAGTTTTTTTTTTTTACTAGCTGCTTACACACATTTTCAAAACCTTGCCTCTTTTTTCTTTTTTTTCAAAACTTTACACACAAATCCAAGAATTGCACACACAAAATGCAAAATGCCTCACATCTCTTGCAAAATGAAGCACTTCATTCAATTTATATATTTATATATATAATTTATTAAAGCACATATTCTGCATGACCATATTCTACATAGCAAATTAGGAGTGTATTGAGGCAAAACTCATAGTTAAATCATGGTTTGTTAATATCAAGAATTGAACATGGAGAAAAAAAAATGACCAATTTTTTTTTGTGCAATGTTTTAATAATTTTATTTTCACCCCAAAAAAACGTTATTTACATGTTTATTTGTAATATTCCACGAACATTGACATTATTAGAGCGTTATTTAAAATTTCCTAAAACTTTTCTGACCACATTCTACTAACTTTTTCACCTAAAATTTAATGTTCTTTAAATCTTTATTTTTAATATTTTAAGAACGTTTTTTTTTCTGAACGTTCATCAAGTACAAATAACATGTTTTTGTGTTTACAATATCTCTCACGTGCGACAATAACATATGAACACTAGTTTAATTATAGAACAGACATGTATTAAATGTATTATTCATATGCTTTATGAAAGCCTGACTCTGTGAATATCAGCAAGCCTCATCAAGCACATGTTTGTACTGTGTGTCTCTATTGTTTCCTGGTGTGTGTCAGTCATCAGTGTGTGTTTGGCTTGTGCTTACTGCCATCTTCAGGTGCAACAGTGCTGCTGTTTCATCACTAGGTGCCACTAGGTGCTGATACTGAGCAGCTTTATATGTGATCTCTACATACTTGATGCATTGAAGAAAAAAGACAGAAAACACAACAAGCATTTAAATGGTACTATTTAGTTAATCTGGTTCTTAAGTTAAATGGATGAAGAATAATCCTTTTTGAGTTTTTTTTTGCTTCCATATAATGTCTTGTTTCAGACTAGTGGAAATAAAACATCCAAAATGCACATTTAAGAGTTTATTTTATTGCGCTTTGTCTATTTGCATCTGTATATTTCAATTCTTTAAAGAGTTTTTTTCTCTTACATTCAGTTTTATTCCTATCTATATACTGAATGGAGGCTTTTCCTGAGGGGCTTGTTCATATATCATTCACACGGATTTATACAACATGTTATTCCTATAAATATGGTGAAAATGTCTTTGTTTTCTGTCTGTTGACAGTATTTTCTGATGTATGGAGTGATAAAAAGAGAAATCCAAAACCCCCTCTGGAGAAAACCAATAATGTGTCAACAAATTTCTGATTTCTGTTCTGGAAATGTATACAAATGAGTGCATACTTCATTTAGACAATGCCTCATTTGCATATTTAAACATACCATTCCAGAAAACTTTTAATAGAAAGCAGTTGTACTGGGATTAATCAACTGGGGAAGTGTGATATCTATTGTTTAATACACTTGTAGTGTTTCGCCTCGATCCTGTAGCAGTTCAAAGCTGTCTCTCTTTATTTCAGCTGCTCGGCCATGGCTCCGTCCTTCACGCCAGCGGCCACTACAGCGAAGAAGAAGCTGGGCAGCAGCGAGCGGATGTAGAGGGCGACCCACGGCACGGGATGGGCGAGAAGAACCTCTCGATTCTGCCGGTTCACCGTCCTCACGATCTCGTGGGCCAGACTGCTGGGACTCACGCCGTGAGTGTTCAGCTTACTAGAGATGTCTGGAACAAAACTGGAGTCAGTGGATCTGCTCCAAAACCTGAAGAGCAGCCCTTGCTATTTATTGCCTACATAGGCAGCTGCCTTCTAAGGAACCTTATTAGAGACCGATTTGGAACGATCTACATATACAACTAGTCTGTGCTTCATACAAATAGAACAGAGTCTGACTTTAGCAGCTGCTAATCTAAAAATATGATACTCTAATAAGCATAGAAAGACAGTAATACTGGGTTAATTACTACCAGCTCATTTGTAATTAGATTGAACTGTGTTTTAATCAATCCTATGAGAAATGAATCAAATATATTTATAATCAAATCCTCAAAGGTCATTTTGATAGATTAGTTTAGTTTAATGTTTTCCAGGCTGTTGATTGGTCAAAACGTGCCAAAATGTAAAAAAAAAAAAAAAAAAACTGAACACCAACTAAATAAAATAAAAACATTTCATAGATTTTATGTATTTTTTTCTGTATGTAAATATTGTATTTATATACATACAATATATATATATATATATATATATTGTATGTCATATATATTGTAAGTCATCTGAACATCATTTTTGTGCCACTTTGTACCACTTTAACTGCTCGATTGAGTGACATTTTCTTCATTTTAATATATATATTTTTTTATATGTAATCTAATATATTTATGTATTTCATGCATACTTCAATAAACATTTATGAATCATACTTCTGTCAAAACCAAGCCTATTCCTACCCAATCTGGCAACACTCTATAGTGCACCTATGATGCCTTAAAGTCCTGTCTACACAGGCAGGTTTCTCACTAGGTTTCTGGATCAGAGCAAAGGTGTGACACCGATAGAGACTAGAAGGTGTGTGATGCAATTAGTGTAGCACGGACAGCAGGAACCAGATGTATCTGAGGGTGTATGTCAGCATTTTTACTGTACACAATGAACAAGTAGCTACACTAATACTTTGATAATTGAGCGTTGCTGTGACTCAGTGCCAGTCGGGTTACTCACAGGCCCAGAGGCGGTTGGTGGACGGCGTTTGGGAGGGAGCGCCGTTCTCTGCTACTGCGCTAATGAAGGTGTGGCTGATGGTGCTGACGGAGATCCCGTACTCCTCCACCTCTGCTCTCAGACAGTCAAAGAACGCCTGGACTGCATGCTTGGACGCGGCATCTGAAAACACATCAGATGCAAAGTAGTGCATATTTAATTAACTAATACCTTATTTGCGTATTTTGCTCAATTTGAATGGGTGCCGTCAGAATGAGAGTCCACACAGCTGATAAAAACATCACAATAATCCACACCACTCCATCTATTAACGTCTTGAGAAGACAAAAGTTGCATATTTGTAAGAAACAAATCCATCATTAAGATGTTTTTAACTTCAAACCGTTGCTTCAAGCTAAAATATGATATAATCATATAATCCATAATCTATAACAACGCTTCCTCCAGTGAAAAAGTGACAATCTCCTGTTGTCTCTCAAATCAAAATCCACCCACATATTTCTTCAGAACTGTTTTGGCTTGTAAACGGTGCTTGATCTGTGCAGATTTCTCTCCTGATTCAGACCAGATTACCTTTTCACTGGATGAAGCGTTATTATTGATTATAGACTCGTATTTTAGTTAAAAACGTCTTTTTTGCTTTACAAGACATTAACTGATGGACTGGAGTGGTGTGGATTACTTGTGGATTATTGTGATGTTTTTATCAGCTGTTTGAACTCTCATTCTGATGGCACCCATTCACTGCAGAGGATCCATTGCTGAGCAAGTGATGGAAGTGACTCTTACAGCATGTTCGGAATGGTAGAGCCAGTTTCCCTTGGATGCTGTTGACCAGCACAAACTGACCCGTCCGTCTCGTGATCATTAACGGAAGAACGCCTGCAACAAAAACAAGCAGCGCTTTAACATTCTTTCTGCCAATAAACCATCGGCATGTTCCTCGCTGTGTTTCTGCAGCCGTCTACCTTTGGCCAGCGTTATGGGCCCGAAGTAGTTGACGTCCATGACGGTTTTGTCCATCTCCAGAGAGAGATTCTGCACCGGTGCTTTGACCTTCATGCTGCTGTTGCATATCAGCACATCCACACAGCCGTAACACTCTCCGATCTCTGTGATCACATCCGAAATGTTCTCCATATCGCTGAAGTCCAGCAGCACTAGCTTGGGTGTGAAAGTCTGAAACAGGAAGTATAGATAGTAGGAAACCAGATGCCACATTAATGCTTGAACATACTTTTAGAATTATTTTGGAGGTCAGTATTGTGTGTGTGTGTGTGTGTGTGTGTACACCTAACCCTATATATATATATATATATATATATATATATATATATACATTATAAATTGCAATTTTAAATATAATCAGATAGTAATCAGTTATTTTTAATTATTACTAATAATAATATACAATATTACTGCTGAGCAGAAGAGTTCATTGTATTTTAGATATGTTTACTGGAGAAAATGATTTTCAATGGAAGAAGAAAAATTTGAATTGTTTTGGTGCACTATTTTTTTTAAGCATCATAGAATGTTGTAGTATGGCACCCATTCACTGCAGAGGATCCATTGCTGAGCAAGTGATGGAAGTGACTCTTACAGCATGTTCGGAATGGTAGAGCCAGTTTCCCTTGGATGCTGTTGACCAGCACAAACTGACCCGTCCGTCTCGTGATCATTAACGGAAGAACGCCTGCAACAAAAACAAGCAGCGCTTTAACATTCTTTCTGCCAATAAACCATCGGCATGTTCCTCGCTGTGTTTCTGCAGCCGTCTACCTTTGGCCAGCGTTATGGGCCCGAAGTAGTTGACGTCCATGACGGTTTTGTCCATCTCCAGAGAGAGATTCTGCACCGGTGCTTTGACCTTCATGCTGCTGTTGCATATCAGCACATCCACACAGCCGTAACACTCTCCGATCTCTGTGATCACATCCGAAATGTTCTCCATATCGCTGAAGTCCAGCAGCACTAGCTTGGGTGTGAAAGTCTGAAACAGGAAGTATAGATAGTAGGAAACCAGATGCCACATTAATGCTTGAACATACTTTTAGAATTATTTTGGAGGTCAGTATTGTGTGTGTGTGTGTGTGTGTGTGTACACCTAACCCTATATATATATATATATATATATATATATATATATATATACATTATAAATTGCAATTTTAAATATAATCAGATAGTAATCAGTTATTTTTAATTATTACTAATAATAATATACAATATTACTGCTGAGCAGAAGAGTTCATTGTATTTTAGATATGTTTACTGGAGAAAATGATTTTCAATGGAAGAAGAAAAATTTGAATTGTTTTGGTGCACTATTTTTTTTAAGCATCATAGAATGTTGTAGTATATATTTTATACAGTACCATACAATTTTTTTTTTTGGGGGGGGGGGTTAAAGATTAGTTTAATATTTTCCAAGCCACTGATTGTTCAAAATTTTAAATAAATAAATGTAAGTCTTTAAAACTAAAGTTGAGATTAAAATATTTTAAAACAAATATCTTATGCAGTTTTGCCTCTCAAGTAACTTTATTTAGTTTTAAAGGTATTTTTACTGGAGAAAAATGATGTTCTGATGCGTAATAAAGTGTTCTTTGATCATATTAGTACAGAGTGCTTTAAATAATTAACGTCTTTATACACTGCAGCCATAATTTAATAGGTTTTTGCTTTTTAATAGCATTTAAAAATGCAACATTTCTCATGGCAGTATGATTTACGGCAAAATAAATGAAGTCAACATGTTTGAAACAGCAGAGGACCAGTATTTTAAGAGACTTGTGGAAATTCGTCTGTCAGGAGGAAATCCTGCCATTGTTCATGACAGAGGAAGAAACGCTGACAGAGACACACAGACACGGCCTGAACTACGAAAATCCTGAAAGTGAAGAGAGCGAGTGATCACAGTGAACATGAGATAGGCTTGCTGATGGTGTCTGTCTTACTTTGGGACTGTAGGTCTAATAATGTGGTTCAATACTCACTTTACTGGGGTCTGATCCACTGCACAGAGAATCATACAGAGATTCAAGCTTATCCCAGCTCGGCCCGCTCAAAACCAGCCTCGCGCCGCCTTCATGAAACAGTCTGGCACATTCTGACAAACAGGCAGAGACAGGATCAGAGGATGACAATACTGGAGAAATGCCTTCTCAGTGGAGGATACATGCAATGCAAATCAAGTTTGGCCAATATGGAACACTAATACAGTGTCATAAAAAAATATATAAGATATTAAGATATTATGTCGTTTTCTGAAAAATGTTTTCAAATCGAGTTTTTACTGAAAACACAAAAAATATCTGCCACTGAGGTCAGAAAAATAAACTTCATTTAAAGTGAAATTTATGAAAGCTTGCTTCTGCCATACACTCTCAGAAAAAAAGATACAAAAGTTGTCACTGGGGTGGCACCTTTTCAAAAGGCACAACTTTGTACCTAAAGAGTCCATATTGGTACCTTAAAGGTACATATTAGTACCTAAAAGGTACAAAAGTGTACCTTTTGAAAAGGTCCCGCCCCAGTGACAGCTTTTGTACCTTTTTTTTCTGAGAGATAGGATAAAAATGGAAAAGGTAATTGTGCCTTTTAATTTCAAAACTAACGTAACAGACGTTTTTTCCTGTTTTTTTTTTTAGAATTGAGATAAGTAAACTCAGAATTGCAAGATATAAACGTAGAATTGAGATGTATATACTTGCAAATTTAAAAAAATAAGTCTAAACTGTGAGATAAAAAGTTTTTTTTTTTTTACCTGTGCTGGAAATGGGGTTCCAGTGAAAACTAGCTTATTTTTCTGACCTTATTGAAAGATAATATTTTCATTTTTAAAGCTTGAATTCACTTTATTTTAATAAATTTTTCAGAAAGCAATACTTAATATCTTTTGCTATTTTGATTAAATGTATCTTGATTTAAGAATGTTTAGATATTTGTACTGGAAAACAAGACAAAAGTAAAAAATATCATTTTAGCTGTGTACAATAGCGGAATTGTAAAATGTAAATTTATAAAAATGTAATAATTACACATGGCAGCATGATTTTGACAATAAACTATTGTTTAAAAAATAAATCAATAAAAAAAGGGCGGGCCATCATAAAATATTCTTATAAAACATAAAAAGAATTTATATGGTTCCATGAAGAATCTCCAATATCCATGGAACCATTTCACTGCTCTAGATTCTTCTAAGAAAAATGGTTCTTAAGAAGTGACCACTGAAAGGTTCTTCAGGGAACCAAAACTGGTTCTTCTATGGCATCACTGCAAAAACTTCCTTTTGGAACCTTTATTTTTGAGAGTGTCGTATTGGAACTAAAAAATGAGTGGAAGCCAAGTTTTATACTGGCTGGCTTTGTTTAATTTTGTGGTGAAGTAGTAAGTAATAGACCACTAATGAAGCATTACCACTTCCCATTCCGGACACGGCGTCTGTGATCACCACAACTTTGTTCCGCACCATGGACTTGGACATGAAGCGCATGACCTCATTGTAAACATAGTAAACTCCAGCGAAAACCACGATCAGCAGCGGCAGCACCATAACCGATGGGACACCCATCATCTGAAAACCAAGAAAAATAGAGTTCATTTCATAACTAAAATAAAACCTTTGCATGTGAGCTTACAAGAAATGATCCTTCATTACTTTCTAAACTGGAGACATATGAAAGATGCGATGAACACTTCCTGTTACACTGTGACAGATGCTACAGTATCATTGTTTTACAAGTCAATATTTTTGGCTTGACTACATTTAAATGAATAGTTCACCCAAAAATGAAATTTATTCATGACGTTTCAAGCTTGTATGACTTCCCTGCACAAGAGAAGATGTTAAACAGAATGTTAGTGACTGACAGCCTTGATTACCACTGACTTTCTTTGAATCTTTTGTCCGTATAAAGGGAGTTAATGATGAGGTTTTTCATTTTAGGGTGAACTATCTCTTAAAGGAAGAGTTCATCCCAAAAAAAAAAAATAATAATAATCTGAAAATGTGCACACCCTCAGGTCGTCCAAGATGTAGATGAGTTTGTTTCTTCATCAGATTTGTAGAAATGTAGCATTGCATCATTTGCTCACCAATGGATCCTCTGCAGTGAATGGGTGCCGTCAGAATGAGAGTCCAAACAGCTGATAAAAACATCACAATAATCCACAAGTAATCCACACCACTCCAGTCCATCAGTTAACGTTTTGTGAAGCCAAAAGCTACGTGTTTATAAGAAACAAATCCATCAACACGTTCCTCTCACATCAAAGTCCACCCACATATTTGTTCAGAGCTGTTTAGGACTGTTTTGGCTTGTAAACGGTGCTTGATCTGTGCAGATTTCTCTCCTGATTCAGACCAGACCATTTTTTCACTGGAGGAAGTGTTATTATGGATTATGGACTTGTTTTTAGTAAAAAGTCTTGATGGATTTGTTTCTTACAAACGCAACTGTTGTCTTCTCAAGACATTAACTGATGGACTGGATTGATGTGGATTACTTGTGGATTATTGTGATGTTTTTATCAGCTGTTTGGACTCTCATTCTGACGGCACCCATTCACTGCAGAGGATCTGTTGGTGAGCAAGTAACGCAATGCTACATTTCTCCAAATCTGAAGAAGAAACAAACTCATCTACATTTTGGAAAGCCTGAGGGTGAGCACATTTTCAGTAAATGTTTATTTGTGTGCGAACTATTTGTTTAACAAATGCTGATCAGCTGTATACAGTAATGTGTGTCACTAGTTCCATAAAAGTGTGGCTGAGGACAAGATCTATAAATAGCCAAGCTCTCGCCACTGACACTGGACACACAAGAAGCACATATTTGGACATACATGAAGAGAATAGATGTGCCTCTCTCACTGTTACTGGATTCAATGATTTAACCAACAACCATTCTGTTGCTTTTTATCAAAGCATTTCCAAGTCCAACACAAGCAACAGTGTCACAGATAGATTAACGCCTGACCAGCACTGATATATAGTGCCAATCAACAGCACACACACACACACACACTAACCTACATGCAGGCGACCATAATCTGTTTTATTTTCAGTGTACTTACAGTGTGTGTAAAGAGTTAAGCCAGCCTTCAGTGGAAATGTGTGTTGTTGTCCGGTCAGGAAAGCAGACTGAAGCCTGCCGTCCTCCCTGTTCATCCAGCCGCAGTACTCGTCTGGATCACGGCTCTTTTAATAGCATGTGGCTGAGCGACTGAGCTCATGCATGTTGTGAATACTATCTCAGGCATGTAGAGAGGCATTCAAGGGTACCTTGAGGTTCTTTCTATATTGCATTGTATAAAATTATATATTTTAAGATGTCTGTTAAAATGTAATTATACATTCAAGTTTTGAGTAATATTAATTAACTACATATACTTAGGGTTTGGTTTAGGGTTAGTTGCATGTAATGCATAAGGCTGTTATTAATACAGTAAGTACATGTAACGTAATGTGTACAGTGTAAAATAAAGTTTTTTATTGATAGTGCATATGTAGAATATTGTTAAAATGCACCATTTTTATTGATTTTTTTAAATGTTATTTTATTGATAGTACATACGTAAAATATTGTTAAAATGCACAATTTTTATAATTTTTTATAGATTTTTACATTTTATTTTATCGATAGTGCATATGTAAAATATTGTTAAAATGTACAGATTTTATATATTTTTATAGATTTTTAAAATACATTTTATTGATAGTGCATATGTAAAATATTGTTAAAATGTACAGATTTTATATATTTTTATAGATTTTAACATTTATTTTATTGATAGTGCATATGTAAAATATTGTTAAAATGTACAGATTTGATATATTTTTATAGATTTTTAAAATTTATTTTATTGATAGTGCATATGTAAAATATTGTTAAAATGTACAGATTTTATATATTTTTATAGATTTTTAACATTTATTTTATTGATAGTGCATATGTAAAATATTGTTAAAATGTACAGATTTTATATATTTTTATAGATTTTTAACATTTATTTTATTGATAGTGCATATGTAAAATATTGTTAAAATGTACAGATTTTATATATTTTTATAGATTTTTAAAATGTATTTCATTGATAGTGCATATGTAAAATATTGTTAAAATGTACAGATTTTATATATTTTTATAGATTTTTAAAATGTATTTCATTGATAGTGCATATGTAAAATATTGTTAAAATGTACAGATTTTATATATTTTTATAGATTTTTAAAATTTATTTTATTGATAGTGCATATGTAAAATATTGTTAAAATGCACCATTATTTATGCAATTACACTGAAAAATAAATGGTCCAGAAACAATTTTCACTCAGAATTTACAAGTAAAGTTATTCACAAAGAAACAGCAAATAACATTGAATTTAAACATGAAATTTTAAAAAGTTTTTCTTATAAAGCTTTTATTTATTTTATTTTATTTTACAGTGCACATAAGCAGTTTAACATATTACGAGATACATTTTTGGGTCACCTGTTTATAAGACCTACTGGATTACACAATAAATTAAGCATATTTATTTTTCAAAAGATTATCAAGTGCCATATGAACGCAAAACACTTAACTCAGCAAAAATCGAATTATATTAAACTAAATTAAAAAAGGAAACCGAGAAAATAATTAAAGTTCACTTTATTGAATTCTTGAGACAAGACTCTGTTGTTATGGATTCAGTTAATGAACGAATCAAAAATTTCATAACAAGCAATATCCCACAAAATAAGCAACATCCTTTCAAACATTAGTATATTGTATAGAAGCGAATGATGTTAATGTGTGATCGCAAAGATTAAACAGTTTGTTTTGGAATTGCTTGTAAAAAGGTTTTGTCTCTTATGCATATAGAAAATAACAAGAAAGCATTGAGAAAGGTTTACATATTTATTTGCATTATTTGACAACTGCATTATTATTATTATATATATATATTTTTTTTTACCCCAGATGCCATTTTTAATTTATAGGCTACTTCTTTTGTTCTGAATTGTGCACATGTTCACTAGTGTCCACAGGGTGGACATCTCCGGGACCGTCCTGCTCTCGCACTCCGAACTCTCGCGAGAGAAAATGAAATTCCAGCAGCAAATCTGCGAGCTCGCGACCTCCCTCCATTGGGAAAGCTCGAGCGCGACTGAGGGGAGAGAAAACAGCCCCTCGTTAGCCTGGAAAAGCTTCGAAACGACGCGTTTATCGCAGCTCACGGAGCCGTGAGGTTCGAGCTAAGACATGCACGGTACCGGCGGAGGATACCATGTCAGGTTCGCCGAACATTGGGATTTTTAACGCTCCGCTAAACGAGCAAGAGGCTTCATTAGCGAGCTAACTGACGCAGTGAAGTGCGTGAAAACTTACAGCCTGAGAGAGAATTTGCCTTTGGGATTGAAAACCAGGATACCGCATCAGCGTTTTTTTCCTAATTCCATCGCTTCCTAGAAAGTCCAGCTTCGTTTGACCAGAGGAACACGTGAAATAATCGCTTTGTTTACCGCTTGCACAATTCCAGCATTGATTCGCTCAGAAATGAGATTAGAGAGTCGCTTTGTGAGGCCATGAACTCAAGCACATCAGCCAAAACACTGAGCAGGCCTGTTAATTAGAGATCTGCTTAACTTATATAAACTACTCGCATTCTGACTAGTTCGGCTGCTGCAAAGGAGATTCGAGGAGTAACTAAAGCTGCTGTTACCGGCCATGTTTTGCATGACGACCGCGTCAAGAATCGGATGAAAGCGCGTCGGGATTATTGCTGTCTGTCTTCTGTTCGTTGCTGGGATTTGAGACGCGCACAAATAGAGGACTAAGATGTCTAGTGCAAAGGAAAACACGTGTAGGAAATTTCAAGCGAACATCTTCAACAAAAGCAAATGTCAGAACTGCTTCAAGCCTCGAGAGCTGCATCTGCTGACGGACCAGGATCTCAATCAGGTATGAACGGCTCGTTACAGTCAGTTTGCTCTGTAGTGACTTATTGATTGTAGACAGTGAAGCTGACAATGGATTTCCATTAGCTGACAGCGCTTTATCGATCAGTTTGGTGACCACTAATCAGCCTTTTAGACTCATTTTGTTTAGAAAGGGTTTGTCTTGTTAACTTTAAACTGGTGTCATAGGGTTTTGACGAGGCTTTTTACATTGTTTTAGTGGCGCATGCAGGTACTTCTAAATTTTTTAAAGGGGTCATATGATGCGATTTCATCCTCGTTTATAATGGGTTTTAATGTTGTCTCATCGCTCCGGCCGGGACACGGCATCAACAGTATGTGAGGGGCGTAACATTTCCGTCTCACGCTTGAGGTATTTGGCCAATCACAGCACACCTCGCTTTTCAGACGCTGAGCTTTGTAAAAATCGACGCGTTTCAGAAAGGCGGGGCTTAGAGGAGAAACAATAATATACAGTATGTGGAAAATAATGTGTTTTTTTAACTTTAAACCGCATAAACACATTTCATTACACCAAATACACAAAATAATGTTCTTTTTAGCAACATCATATGACCCCTTTAATGATTCTTCACGGATGTTTGTGACTGATCTAATGTATTTACTGTGTATGTGTTTTCAGTTGTGCTAAAGTGCTTGGAACGCTGTATTGACCAATCAGAAGTCAGCAGAAGTCTACTCCTGATTTCTGATTGGTCAAAACCGCGTTCCAGCCTTTCTGTAGTCTCTGTCGCTGCTCAGCTTCAATCACATAATTTTTTTTCTTCTTTTCGTTCTTTTATGTTCTAGTGGAAGTATGGCAATTAATTTGTTTAATAAAATGAGGTTTAATGAAATGTGTGTTACGAATATTTATATATGTAGTAACCCTTAAAATAAGCCTGTATTTAATTAATCGAAGTTGAATCACTGTTGAAATGATTTTGTTTCAGTTTGTGCAAACATTGTTTCAATGTTTTTTTTTCGTATAGATCTTGATAAAATTTCAGAATTGATTTAGAAGTATTTTGTTAGACGTTTACAACCATTGAGCACTAAATGTTGTTTCAGTGTTGTTACAACAACTAAAATTGTTTCAATAATATTTTGACATTTAGAGGTCAGTCACAATTCAGCTAACTATATTTACAATATGGTTACTAGGGCTGTGTATCACCAGCAACGTCACGATACGATACGTATCACGATACAGGACTGCACTGAATTTCACCAAAGCAGAATTTAGTAAAACTGCACCAAGAGCTTGTAACACTCCAAAGAGAAAGGAAAAATTGAAATCGCATCATATGACCCCTTTAAACCCATAAATAATAATGTACTAGTTCTAATAAATTTATATTGTAATGTACTCATACTAATATATTTTAAAAATCATCTTTACATTGCTGGTTGGTTATCATTGCACAAATTAACACAATTTCTACATTTAAAAAAATAAAAATTAGAAGAGTTCTAAACTAGAATCTTCACTGTATCTCACGCACACATGATTTTAGTCACTCACACAGATCACGTTGCGCGCGTGCACAGACATTCAGTAACACAAACGTTTTAGCGCTGCCCCGCAATTTTATCAATAAAATAGCTTAATCGCTCAAGAGTTACATTATCTTTGTCAACAAGGAGCTGGTAACATCATCGTTTCTAAAGGAATTAAAGCCACAGCTTCACTGTTAATAGAGAAACACGGCAAAAC